TCTTAGACATTAAAAAAAAATTGCCACTGTAGTAACATGAATGATCTTGAGGGTACTATGCTAAGTGAAATAAGTCAGATGGAAAAAGACAAAAATTATATGACTTCACTTATATGTCGAATATCAAACAAAAAGTAACAAACTAACAAAACAAACAAAAACAAACTCATAGGCAACAGACAGCAGAATAGTAGTTGCCAGAGAAAGAGCAAAATGAGTAGAGACGGTTAAATATCTGATAACAGAAGAGAACTAAATTTTGGGTGGTGAGCATGTAATAGAGTACACAGATAATGAATTTTGTTGTACACCTGAAATTTATGTATTATTAACCAATGTTACCCAATAAATTTAATTGTAAAAAATAGCATAAGCCCGAATTCAAACCCCAAAAGGAATCCAAAACATTGTTTTTAATTAGTAGAAGCAAAAAATAATTCAGAACCACACAGGAATAAAACATGGTTTCTCTACATACAAATCTACTGCTCTCACCAGCTAATCAGATTATACAGATTATACAAAGCATGGAATCTAAAGAAAGTGAGCTGGTACTGTCGTAGCTTATCTCAGAACACATACACTTCCCACTCACTCTTTACTCAGGGCTCACTTTGAACTTACTTCTTCATAGAACCTCTGAAGCTGTTGTTTTTTTTTTAGCCTAATTCGTTGATTTACTCGGTGTTTGGCTTGTCTCTGAAAACGCTTCAAAGCTTCTTGTTTTTTTCTTAACTGTTCCTTTAGTTCTTTTTCAATTATATATGCTGCAGTCTTTAAAGATGAAAGACAGAAAATGAACTTTAATGTCAACTGTTTTTCCCATAGGGCTTTGTTATCAACACAAGTCAGGAAACAATCCTGAAAAAAATAACTCAGTTCTATAATCCAAAATCCCCAGTAGAGTAAGGAAAGCACGGAGTTCAGAGGTGACAATCTAGACATAGCTAGTGAGTGCTGAGAACTTCAAAGCAAATCACAAACTAAAAATTGGAATTTGGAGTACTCAAATCCCATCTGATTTTTTCACTTAACTGAGAACAAACAGTGTCTTCATTAATTCTTAATGAATCAATTCAAATCCATCTTATGTTCTACATTTTCTAAAATAGTGAAACAGTCCAGACACACCAGATTGCTCATCACTCACCAAAATCTTATTCTAAAATGCCTTCATACTCAGAATTATGCTCCATTTTTAACCCCGCATGCCCTCCTGTAATCTCTATCTAGTAAAGACCTACTCCATCTCCCAGACCATCTAATGCCCACCTCCTAGTACCTCCCACAATCCTTCCTTCCTCTCAGCTCTGTGCTTAGTACCTCTGATTAACGTTAACTGAGTACAGTGTTTCTTGATTCCTTCATTAGATTATGATCTCTTTGAGGGCAGGAAATGTATTTAATTCTCCTTTATTTCCTCTATAGTATATAACACAGAGACCTGAATATAAAGGTACTTAATATCTGTGTAATGCTCAATTCCAATACATATCCTAAACAATTTGGAACATTTTATCGCATTTGAGTCCCTGATCAGTATTCACAAAGTCTTATCTTTCTTCTTTAAATACCAAAGTCTTAGCACTTAATCATACATTACCCAAACTCTTAAAATCCTTTCTGGAAATAGGCAGAGTAGAAATAAATGAATATATACATACATACATATATACATACATAAAAACATAAATAAAATAAACACTGCATTACTATTTAACATTTACTTTAAACATACCTCATTTCTCCTCTCATATCAAGGACCACTAAGTAAATGTACTTCATACTTTTCACCTTCATGCTCAGCACCCTGTCTATACTATACATTCGGAAGACCTTCACACACTGTGTGCATTCCATAAATTCTTACCGAATGCCCATATTTATTAGGAACTAAGATGAAGATGGAAATGTGATAAGATTTTTTCCCCCCTGTGATCTAGGAACTCACACTCCATCAGGAAAAGGAGATATGTAAACAACTTACTATGAATGTAATGTGTTAAGAGTCACAATAAAATCTGAACAAATAGCGAAGGGAAACCGTTTAAGTGAAAGACTATAAAAATCTTCTTACAAAGTTATCCTTATGCCCTAACCGGTTTGGCTCGGTGGATAGAGCGTCGGCCTGCGGATTCAAGGGTCCCAGGTTCAATTCCGGCCAAGGGCAGGTACCTTGGTTGTGGGCACATCCCCAGCAGGGAGCGTGCAGGAGGCAGCTGATCGATGTTTCTCTCTCATTGATGTTTCTAACTCTCTCTCTCTCCCGCTTTCTCTCTGTAAAAAATATATTTTAAAAAAATTATCCTCATGTGTTACTTAGTAGTATGAGTCTAACCATGTAAACAGGCACACATGTAAACTTTGCAGAAGTTTCCCTTCATCTCCTTCCTCCCTGCCATCTTGTACTTACAGCGGATCCATTCTTTAAGGACCAACACAAGCTGTATTTCCTCATTCATTCATGCAACAAGTATTTCCTGAAGACCTACCATAAACCAGACAGGAATGAACAGCACATGAAGGCCTCTGTCCTCATGGAATTGATAGGTGCACACTTCCTCAGAATCCCCGTCAGAATTCATCTTTCCCTCCTCTATTCTCTTACGGCCTGAATCTCCACGACCAAACTTATCAAAAACTGTAAGCGGTGCCCTAGCCAGCTTGGCTCAGTGGATAGAGCCTCCACCTGTGGACTAAAGGGTCCCAGGTTCGATTCCGGTCCACGGCACCTGCCCAGGTTGCTGGGCTCGCTCCCCAGGAGGCAGCCAATCAATGATTCTCTCTTGTCACTAATGTTTCTATCTCTCTCTCTCCCTCTTCCTTCCTCTCTGAAATTAATAAAAAAAATATATGTTTAAGAAAAACTTTAAGCGATCATGAATGTTGCATGAAATGTGGCCAACGGTGGTCCTGATTACACTGTAGAAGATATAGACGTTGCCTATTGCTTGTGCGTAACAAGCACTTAAGACTTTGTGAAGTAAACTGAAATACATACATGTTATACGTATGTGAGTTTTGGCAAATACACCCGTGATTGTTCTATAATGCTAATGCAAGAATATATTATTTATGAACAAAGAGAAATAGCATCCTCAGACTGCTTATCTTTAAGCACCAGAGAGGCCAAAAAAATAATAATAAAAAGGGAAAGATGGGGTAGGAACCCCAGGATTTAGTATTTCGGTTCACACTGACACTCACATACGCTGTGTTTCCCGAACTGTGCGGCGAGGCAGGTTCCACCCACGCCCCGACTGGCACCACAGGCTGGTTCCTCTCCGCCAGCACTGCCAGCACGTCCTTGCTCTTCTGGGGGTTTAAGGCCAGGGGCAACTTTGGGGTGTTTCGACGATTCTTGCGGGGGGCCATACTTGCTGAAATCTGTGACTCCTGCTTAGGAGAAAGGACAAGCCTGTCATCTTCAAACGACCGCGTTAGAAGCTCAACTTCCGAACCCATGAGCCGCAGGTCCCTTGGAGAAGGCAGCCGCCGGACCAAGTGCGAGAACGGGGGTTCCTGAAGAAGGTGCGAGGAAAGAAGGGGAAAGCGGTGGGAAGGAATACGGGGGGGAAGGAGGAGGCTTAAAGATTGCCTAACGGAAGAAATGGGGGATGGAAGGATCTGACAGAGGACTGCACCCAGGGGCGGCACGGCGAGGTGAGACTGGGAGGACCGACCGCAGCAGCCGCATAGAACGGGGGCTGGGGGGGCGGAGGGGTGAGAACCTGGGTCTGAGGGAGAGTCCAAATAATCCGTATCCGGTTACGGGGAAGACGCTGAATGAGGAGGGGGTCCCAGGACAGAGAGAAGCCTCTTTCTGAGGCCTTGGGGGCCCGCTACCGCTGAGACAGCGCCCGCCACTCGCCAAACTCAAACGCTACCCGGGACGCTAAACGAACCCCCGCCGGTCAACCGCCACTTCCGGTGGGGCGCCCCGCCCCTCGGCCTCTCTGAACCCGCCCCTTCCGGACTACCCGGGGGCGGGCGGATAAGGCGTGAGGGCGGAGTTCGGGCCTAGTCCGTCACTTCCGCTGAGGGCGCGGGACTTGTGAAGGCGCCAGGAACCCGGAGGAAAGGAGTGGGTACGCGGGGTCGCTGTGTAGTGTGCCCGGCCGCGCGCGTTGGTCTGAAGACACTGCTGAGCCCTAACCGGTTTGGCTCAGTGGATAGAGCGTCAGCCTGCGGACTGAAAGGTCCCAAGTTCGATTCGGTCAAGGGCATGTACCTTGGTTGGGGGCACATACCCACTAGGAGGTGTGCAGGAAGAGGCTGATCGATGTTTCTAACTCTCTCTCCCTCTCTCTTCCTCTGAAAGAAATCAATAAAAAAATAAATATATTTTTGCCCTGACCGGTTTGGCTCAGTGGATAGAGCGTCGGCCTGCGGACTGAAGGGGCCTAG